TGTGGTCCCTGCTCCTGCCGGCAGCGGGGCTCCTCCTGGAAGCTTGGGCCCTTCTGAACAGCTTGGGCAGGCAGGGTCTGCTGCAGGGCCACAGCAGCAGCAGCCAGCTGGAGCCCCCCAGCCTGGGGCAGTCCCACCAGGGGTACCCCCCCCTGGACCCCATGGTAAGTGAGGTGTTCCAGAACTCTTGCTAACTGGAGGGACCGAGGGAACATCTCAGTTCTCCTCGACATAGCTGTGTGATGGCCTCAGTTTCTGTAGACGGGCCCAGCTGTGTTACGTCCCTAAGCTGGTGGGATCCTTCCCCAAACCCAGACTTTTGGAAATCTGTCCCCTGTATTATCACCTGTCCTGGGTCAGGAGAAGGGAGATGGTGCAAAGGATTGGCTGGATTATCCTTGCTGTGAACGTAAGCTGGCAGTAGAGATTTCACACGGCTCATAGTCTCCATGTCTCGTGCTGTTCCCAGGCCCCTCACCGTTCCCCAACCAACAAACTCCTCCCTCAATGATGCCAGGGGCAGTGCCAGGCAGCGGGCACCCAGGCGTGGCGGGTAATGCTCCTTTGGGTTTGCCTTTTGGCATGCCGCCTCCTCCTCCTCCTGCTCCATCCATCCTCCCATTTGGTAGCCTCGCCGACTCCATCAGTATTAACCTCCCCCCTCCTCCTAACCTGCATGGGCATCACCACCATCTCCCATTCGCCCCGGGCACTCTCCCCCCACCTAACCTGCCTGTGTCCATGGCGAACCCTCTACATCCTAACCTGCCGGCGACCACCACCATGCCATCTTCCTTGCCTCTCGGGCCGGGGCTCGGATCCGCCGCAGCCCAGAGCCCTGCCATTGTGGCAGCTGTTCAGGGCAACCTCCTGCCCAGTGCCAGCCCACTGCCAGGTGAGAAGGGGCCAGAAGGGGAGAAGGGCGAGGGTGAGGGGTCCACGCGGAGGGAGGGCGGGCAGGTGGGGCTCGGGTACTAGTTTCCATGATCCTTTCTGAACACTCTGGTAAAATTAGAACACAGGAGGACAGGCCTCTCTGGCTGTCCTCCACCATTCCCCAGCCTGGCAGCTGCCACTCCTGGGATGATGTTGGGGCCTTTCCCTGGTGGGTCGTGGAGGAGTCCTGTGGCACAGAGCATCTCAGTTGTAAACCTGAAAACAGCACCCTGTTTGCATGACGACTGATTGGCACTCCTTCGCTTGTTCCCATCACGTTCAGATGCCCCTTTAGCGTTCCCTTGGGGGCAGGAGGGTGATGGGGGGTGTATCTGCTTTTCCCTATATGAGGTGGAAGAGGGTGTTGGGCTAAGGAGGTTGTACATTGTGGGTACCTCATTCATCCACCACCCACTGCATGCCATGCCGGTTCTGTGTCTGTAGTGGCCTGGGTCTGGGTCCTTCTCCTGCTCACCCTCACTGATTCATCTTCCTTTTCTCCACAGACCCAGGCACCCCCCTGCCTCCAGACCCCACAGCCCCGAGCCCAGGCACGGTCACCCCTGTGCCAGCCCCACAGTGAGGAGCCAGCCAGACATCTGTCCCCCTCACCCCCTATGGAGATCACAGTTCCAGGAACAGCCCTTCCCCACCACTGGGACCCTCCCCCAGCCTGGAGAGTTCATTACTACGTAAGGAAAGCTCCTCCTGCCCTTCCAAAACCCCCATGCCTAACAGAGGCACGCATTTTTATATCGGATTATTCAAGGACTTCTGTTTAAAAGATGTTTCTAATGTCTGAGAGAGGATAGGATGGGAATGCTGTCTCAAAGGAAGGGCTGGGGAAAGGTGTTTATACAAGATTCTAATTAACCACTTCCAAAGGTGCACCCCTCAAAACTACTGCATTTTCTATGGGTTAAAAAAAATTAGCCCTTTAAAAGAAAGTAGAGGCCGAGCGTGGTGGCTCACACCTGTAATCCCAGCACTTTGGGAGGCCAAGGCAGGAGGATCACTGGAGCTCAAGAGTTTGAGACCAGCCTGGGCAACATAGCGAGACCTTGTCTCTACAAAAAAAGTCAAATAATTAGCCGGGCATGGTGGCATGGGTCTGTAGTCCCATCTACTTGGAAGGCTGAGGCAGGAGAGCCTGAGCCCAGCAGGTTGAGGCTGTAGTGTGCCATGATCATGCTATTGCACTCCAGCCTGGGCAACAGAGTGAGACCCTGACTCAAAAAATAAAGCAAAAGGAAGTAGAGAGATATTTTAAAAGCCACATTGGAGCTCCCTTCAACCCACTAAAAAAAATAACCAACTTTACATTTTTTGGGGGGTGGCGGATGACAGTTTTAGGAAAAGAGTGAAGGTTCTGGGGAGAGTTCTGGGGATAGATTAGGGTACACAATCCGTCTCCCCAAGCCCCTCGTTAGCAACTTAGTCGGCTCCCTGTGCCCCCACCACCCGTTTATTTGTACTAATCTCTCCTGCTACTTCCTTGTTGCTGTCTAGGCCGCCCAGCTCAGCGGATGATCCCTTTCCCTCTGAATGTCAGTTCTGTTTGTTTTTAAAAGTCACCTGCTTAGTTGATGTCAGTGTACGTGTATTTGGTGGGGAAAAGCTAATTTGGGGGATTCCTGTGGTATGTAATAGGGGAGAAGGGCACAAAGGGCTGTTCTTGGCCTTTTCCTGGCTGCATCAGTGGACTCCAAGGCACGGGAAGAGGGCCATGAGAGGATGGGGAGTTTTAAACCTGAAGTTTTCAAAAAGCACTTAAGCACCTCCTTCTTAGGACTTGGTGGGTCACCCCCTAGCCTCTTCCCTCCCCCAAGACTGTCAGAACTTCAGCTGATAGCTAAGGCTTCCCCGATAAGGACTTGGGTTTCAGCGTGCAGCTGGGCTCTGCTCCTGGATTCTTGCCTCCTCGCCTCCTGTTGGGCTCTCTCCCTCTACATCCTTGACAAGAAGGCAGATGTGATTCCAGGCTCCACACCAGTTCTCCTTGGTCCCTCCCACCAGTCCCTGTGTTCCCCACGTCCTGTGTTTCTCTTCCTCTGCGTCTTAGCACCTTTCTGTTTCAAGTTTTCTGTAAATTTTTTTTTTTTATAAATTAATTTGCTTTCAGTTCCATCTTGTGGATGCCTTCTGTGTTCTCTTGCCGGTGGCTTTCAGGCAGGGGGATTGGGCTGGGAGCAGCTTTCCGGAGCATCTCCTCCTGGAGAGGCGCCTCCCCTCCCTGATCGCCCCCCCACCGGACCCGACCCCCCACCCCACAAGCCTCGGGGCCTGCAGACACTGCCCCCTGCCCTCACCACCAACACAGCTGTTGGGACCTCCCTGGCACAGGAGCAAGCTCCCCCCACCTATCCTAAAGCTTTTAAGATGTGGATGGACATTCTTGCAACATGGAGATTTTGTATCTTTATCCTTGCAGAAGTCAGGGCCTCATTCCTTCCCTTATTAGGGAGGAGGCCGGCCCCTCACCTACTTCTGTTATTATTGGCCCTAGCCCTGCTGAAGCAACAGGCAGGCTCTGGCAGTGCAAATATGGCCTGGCTTCAGCTCATCAGCACTCTCAGGCTTCCCCACAGGCCTTATTCAGACTAAGCTGTGCTTAAGAAGACAGCCTGGTATGGGACGACAGAACAAGGATGGCCAGCCTTAGTCCTGCAGGGATTTGCGGCTTTCCTAGTCCCCCAAGGGGCAGCTTCTGGAACACGGAGAAGTGGGGCCACAATGGCTACTGCAGGCCCTTCCCTACTTTGCTCAACCCCTTCTTCATGACCTTGTTATCTGCCTCAGGGCAGAAATCACCACTTCACAGTCCCCTTCACATGCAAAGGAAGGCAGAACCACACCAGGGCATGGAGAGCAAGTTTATTTGGTGAATGCTGACACAAACGTCATCCGAGAGGCAAGATGGGCAAGGTGCTGTGACCAGAGGGCCTGGGAAGCCTTCAGGCTAGACAAGTCTCACACAGGGAAAGGCACGGGCACTGGGGAGACGGAAGGTTCTCAGCCGTTCAGCACCATGCGGACCAGCTCTGTGGAAGGAAAGGTGGGGTGAGCCAGGGAGCAGGGCGGAGGAGGGTGCGCCAGGGGCCGGGGACTGCGAGACCACGAAGGCAGCGTCAGGTAATGTCCCACAGCAACCAACCTCAGGGTCAGTTTGCAGAAGAGCCACCTTGAGTCTGAACCGTCCTTCCTGCCCCTAGCCCCCCTCCCGCCAGCTGTTAGTCCCAGCCCCCCGGGCAGCAAGAACACAGCAGAGGCAGAGAAGTTCTCAACTACACCTACAGCTACTGTCAGCCGCTGGCGGGAGGAGAGGACAGAGTTTTGGGTTAGGGTACCTCCAAGCTGCCAGCAGAGGGAAGGGGGAAGGACCGTTCAGCTGTAGCAGCAGAAGAGGGGCAGGCGACCCATCCCCCTAGGCCAGCCACCCATGCTCCAGGGCCAGAGGATCACTCTAGAGCAAGATTGGGACACGGGCTGCTGAGCACACCCAGCTCTGGCGCCCGGGCCTTGTGAGCCAATCTCAGAGCCCATCAGAGAGGAGGTACCGTCCCCCCAGGCTCTCTTCCTCTTGGAGGAATCCCTCCCCTCCCTCATCAGCTCCATGCAGAAACATGCCAGGAGGAAGTCAGATGGTAGTAGGGTAAGGGCAGGGGACAGAGAGCACAGGGAAAAAAACACCAGGGAGATCAACTAGGGAAGGAGAGGCTGGGAGGAGCCGTACCCGCCCCACGGCCCGTCACCCCGACAGGATATGCCTCACAAACGCTGCAGGAAGGAAGAGACATTAATGGTGAAGACTAGACACAGACATGGGGTGAAGGGGTCAGGCGGTGGGGAACAGGCTTTCCATTGGTCTCGCTTCCCATTCCTTCCCCACCCTTCCCACAACAGGAGTCCTTTCTTGTCACACACACACACACACACACCCCAACCCCCCCCACCCCTGCCTCCCACTCCTGGGTGGGGCGGGCCCTGCCCTTGCCTCATGGCTCCCTTTGGAGCCCAAGGCCATGGATGGGGAAAGGCCCAAATGCCATTCTTGACCTGCCCAACAACTCCCTCTGAGAGCGCCCCAGCTCACCCTCACCTTCATAGTTGATACAACCATTGCTGTCCTCATGCCCTGCCACCAGCATCTCTACTTCTTCCTCTGTCATCTTCTCACCTGCAGGGGGAAAGCATTTTTGGAATTGGGTGACAAGTGAGATGTCAGGGTGGCCCCCCGGCTCGCAGACAAGGACACAGAACTTTACCCAGAGTGACAAGGACATGCCGGATTTCCGCGCCCATCACAGTGCCGTTCCCTTCCTTGTCAAACACCCGCAGTCCTTCAACATAATCCTCATAGGTGCCCTGGTCCTTGTTCTTGGCCACAGTCTGGAGCATGGGCAGGAAGTGCTCAAAGTCCAGCACCTTCACATTCATCTCTGCCGTCAAGGAGGTGGAAGTGTCAGGCCAGAGAAGTCACACAAGTTCTCAGGACAGGGGTTTACGGGGATCTCAACTCAACAGATGACTCCTGCTCAGAGCAGGAAAATCTGGCCTTTGCTAATCACAAGACTCACTTGCACTTGGGGCTTATGAAGAAGGAAGGGCTGGGCTCGGTGGCTCAGCCTGTAATCCTGCACCTTTGGGAGGCTGAGGTGAATGGATTGCCTGAGCCCGCGGGTTCGAGACCCGCCTGGGCAGGTGAGACCTCATCTCTACAATAGAATAAAAAAATTAGCCGGGCGTGGTAGCGTGCGCTTGTAATTCCGGCTACTCGGAAGGCTGAGGCAGAAGGATCGCTGGAACCCAGCAGGTCGAGGCTGCGGTGGCCGGGAGCGGCCGCTGCACTCCAGTTTGGGCGACAGAGTGAGACTCCAACTCAAAAAAAAAAAAAAAAAAAAAGGAAGGAAGGAAGCTCTTGGCTGAAGGACTGTGGGCCCACTAACACACTGAGTTGTTTTGAGGCCCCTTACCATCACTTTTGGGGTTCCCCAGGACCTTGAGGACCTCAGCGTTGGTGGGGTTCTGGCCCAGGGCCCTCATCACGTCCCCCACACTGGCTGTACAGGATCTTGCCATCCCCTGTTCGGTCAAACAGCTGGAAGGCCTCCTTGAACTCTGAGGATTCAGATGAATGTCAGCGCCAGGGCTGTGGGGGTTAACCCAAACCCTGCCGCAGAGTTTTCCTGCCCATTCAACTTTGATCATGCTGAGGAAACCAGATACCTGTTACACACAAGTCGCTAAAAAGGATCCATTTCTCTTCCTCTCAACTCAGGTGTCCCACATAAAGACGGGGCCATCCTCCCCCTTGAGCAGTGGGGTAACATCCACTTACACACCCCCTGCGCCTGCACCAGGCCTGCCCAACCTCCACACTGCCACTACACAGGGCAGGAATTTGCCACCGCCCAGTCTGGGTCCTGTCCTTATAAGGAAGTGGGAGCAGCAGACTGGAACTAGGGTCATCCCAGTCTGCCACTTCCCACCCCTCCTGTACAAAGAAATTTCCACAGGGTAGAGCTACAAGGCCCTAACCTAGCAAACTGCCCTGCCCCATCTTTACAATTTACGAAGTCATCACTTTTTACAATCTTGACAATTCCAAACTGAGGGAGAGGAACAGTTATCACAGGAGAAAAGGCAGAAGTAGCTGATTAAGGGACAGATGAGCGCAGGCAGCTTAATACGCCCTCTGCAAACACCGCACACAGCAGGGAATAGATGACCAAGTTGTTTCACATACCCACACCATCTAAAACTCGCCCAGTGCTTGGGGCTCAGATCTAGAGTGGAAGGGGAGGGGGGAAGAAAGAGAGAAAAGAAAATGGAGGATCCAGGAGGGAGAAGAGAATCCAGGGGTATTCTCACGGGGTGCCAAAGAGATGACAGGTTAGGATCAGAGGGTAGGTGCTGGGGGGTGTCCCCCTCCCTAAGGATGACCTCGATAGAGATGAGACACCTACCTGCGGTCTGGTCCTCGGTGAAGTCACACTGGTCGGAGAAGAGGGGAGTGGTCAGCGTGTGAACTCCAATTCCCCGAGCTTCTATCCCAGTCCCACAACTCCGAATCACAAATCGTTTCAGCCCGGGGACTCGCCTCCCCGCAGGACAGGGCCCCAGACTTTCCAACCCCACCTTCAACCCTCCAAGCCCTCAAGTTTCCTTCGTCTCCTACCGCTGCCTTCTCCTCGTCCCCACCCTTGGCCTCCCGCCTCTCTCCCCACATCCCGCTCATCTCCCTGGCCCCGGGCCCCACCATCTTGGCCGCTCAGCTCTGCGGGACCTTTTCCTGCAGTAATGGCTCCGACTCCAGGCCCAACCCTACTCTTAGCACGTCCCAATGACGTCACCCCAGCGGGTCCAGCCAATAGGAACGCCGGCCGGAGCTTATGCAGATAACTCGCTGCATTAGTAATTAGGTGGGCGGGACCCGCCGTGGTCTTTTTCTTCCTAGTAGCCCTACCTGGGCTCAGAAACCGCGAGGGGAGGGGAAGGAAGGGGTGGGGCGGGGTGAGGCGAGGTATGGGTGCAACGAATCTGCGCCTCCGAGCCGCAGAAAAATCGGAGGATACCCGGCTCGGGAGAGGAGACAGCCCTCCCTCCTCACCCTCCCCCGCCTCTCAAGAAAAGAGCAGCCCGAGACCAAGGGAGGAACCGTGTCTTTATTTTGAAACCATAGGTGGCCTCCTGGCGGCGGGAACGTGCTTCCGCCCGCGGGGGCCGTGTCCGCCCCCCTGGACCTGTGGGATCAAACGACAGTCGTGAAGCCCTGGCGCGCGCAGCGGGACGGCGAAACGCACGCCCCTGCTTGTCCCAGCGGGCCAGGGAAGGAGACTTGCCTTCAAGGTGGGGCGGGGTGGAGGCCCCAGCTGTAGAGCTCAGACGCTTAGGATGTGCTTCAGGAAGGCTGCAGAGAAGGCAAGAGGCCTTCAGAAGCAGCCTTAGGAGAATCCGTCCGACTGGGGGTAACCCCGGGCGCCCCCGCCCCCCATGGCGCGGTGCCGGACCCCACCCCGCCCCGCCCTTCTGCTCCCCTGGCCCCTCACCCTCGTAGTTGATGCAGCCATTGCTGTCCTCGTGTCCTGCCAGAACAGTCTCCACCTCCTCCTCTGTCATCTTCTCTCCTGAACCCCAGACACGGCGTCTGAGCCCCTGCCTTCCCTCCCTCACGGACCCAGGCCTTGCTCTTTGGGGTGGTACCACCTCCTCTTCTCCCACCCTGGAGACCTCCCATAGCCACAGTCCTCCAGGGACTCCTCTCTGGGTCCTGGAGGCCTCTTGCTTTCCACTTGGCCTTGGTGCTGGTGGAAGTTTTGGCAGAGGAGGAAACTGAATCTTAGAGGATTAAGAGGCCAGTGCCGGATCTCTCAAGACAATCATCTCTTCCAGGGCTCCCACGTCCTCCCCTTTCCTCTGCCCTTTGGGAGGTAATTTAGCATCTGGAGTCCTTCCGGTTCTGCCCCATGGCTCTGACCTTCTCAGTCTTCTGCCCTTGACCTGTAGGACAGTAATCCCCTGCCTGGCTCTGCCTACCTGGCCATCCTTCCTGGCCCACCTCTGCCCCCTCCACTCTAAAGGTGTTCTGGTCCCCAGCTCACCCAGCGTGGTGAGGACGTGTCTGAGCTCTGCCCCCATGACTTTGCCGTTCCCCTCCTTGTCAAACACACGAAGCCCCTCCAGGTAGTCCTCATATGAGCCTTGGTCCCGGTTCTTGGCCACTGCCTGGAGCATGGGCAGGAAAGTCTCGAAGTCCACACGCCGGGTCTTCAGCTCTGGAGATCAGAGGGGTGAGGGAGAGTCACTGTGGTATCCCCTAGGACCCAGCTCAACCCCCACGGCTTTCTCATCCTTTTCCGCATTCAGGATGCTTTTCTACAAGTGTGTTTGACATTTCTTTGAAGTCCTGAGATTCACTCTCAGCATCTGTTGTCATCTAACCAACATCCCCATTAAAACTGAAAACCTGCATTGTGCCAAGGGTCCCCTCACCGTCACTCTTGGGGTTCCCCAGGACCTTGAGCACCTCGGCGTTGGTGGGGTTCTGGCCCAGGGCCCTCATCACATCCCCACACTGGCTGTACAGGATCTTGCCATCCCCTACTCGGTCAAACAGCTCGAAGGCCTCCTTGAACTCTGAGATACAGGAAGAAGTCGGCATTGGCCAGGGGTTCCCATCACCCACAGACAGAAGGGAGGCTCAGAAATGATGTGCCAGAGTTAAGCAGCACGAGGCAGGAAAAGAGAACTCGTATGGAAGATTTCAAGGTGGGGGCTGGGGTTAGGGGAACACAAAGAGGATCTGCTCAGGTTTTGGGACTGGACAGTGGGCTTAGGGGCCTGGCTCACCCTCCAGCTGGTCCTTGTTAAACTCGATCTGTGGAAGAAAAAAAAGCAGGTGGGGAGAGATGACAGGGCTTAGTCAAGCCCTCCCCAGCACTCCTCCCAACCAACTGGCAGCCACTTCTGGGGAGGGGCCCAATGGGACCAGGCTGGGAGCCTAGCCACCTCAGTCCCATTCCCAACTCTGGGCCTTGGGAGAATCCCAAGAGGAGGAATTATAGGGGGGAGGGTTTCCTGGGACCAGGGTTAATCCCATGCCACCTGTTCCCCTCCCTCCACTGCCCTGAGCCCTGCATCCCTCACATAACTGGGGGCTGAACAAAGGCTAAATTTACCCCTGGCCCCCAGCTGTGATTGTCTAACAAGTCTGTCCTCTCCAGCCTCCCCTCCTGGGGTTCAGAGCTGGTCTTCGGAGCTGAACCACCAGCCAGGGGCGGCAGCAGCTCTCTTCCCTTCACCTTGAAACCGTCCTCAGAACCCAGGTGTTCCCATCTCAGAGTCCCCGCCCCCAGCCGGGGGTCAGTGAGTGTGTACGTGTGTACCCACGTTTGTTACAGGTTAGAGGAGAGAACAGCAAAGACAACAGCAGCCATAAACCTGGGTGCTTCCAAATGTGGGACTGAGAGGACCCCCGTCTCAACCAGTGGTCATCAATCTACTTTCTAGATATCCCCTAATCCCCTAGGCGCTCACCCTTGAGCCACCCCCTCCAATTCTATCCTCACTTTCCAGGGACTCACCACCACTTTGGAGAGATCGATGGGGGGCTCCTGGGCTTTCTGGGCGGCTTGCGTGACAGCTGGCTCGGGTTTGGTCTTGGCTGGAGGAGCCCCTGCTGCAGGCTTGGCAGCAGGCTTGGAGATAGAGGGCCCTGCTGGTTTCTTCACAGGAACATCCTTCTTGGGAGGCATGATGTCCGGTGGCCAAAGGACAGTGTGTCGATGGGGGCACCCATCTCTGTTTAAATAGCCAGGGAGTCTGGGATGTCAAGGGGCGGGGGCGGGGGCAGGGAGCCAGTTGGCGGTGGTGAGGGTGAGGTAGAAGAGAGATATGCCCGCCTGCCCTCACTCCCCTGGCTTCCTATGGCTCAGGACTCCTGCCCCAAGGTCTTCTTCCCTCCGTCCACCCCTCCCCAAGGCTGGTGGGAACAATGTTCCCTTTGGGGCAGGGGGAGGAAGCCAGAGACTGCCCAGAATGGGGGAGTTAACCTCCGGGGTGAGGAGAGGATGCTTGCCAGTGAGGCAAAGGAGGGGCTCCCCCAGCTTCACACTGCGTGAGGGCTGAGATAAGTATAAAGTGGGGTCTGGGAGCAGCGAAAGGTGAAAACAACACGGAGCCCATCCACCCAGCCCCTCCGCTCTGACCATGGGTGAGGAGTGGGGGTAGTTAAGCCCACAATCTAACAATCCCCAATACTGGACCCCTCGCCCAGCAGTGGAACTGTGCGTGGTATAAATAATAGTAACAGAAAGCGGAGTGTGACACCCTCCTTTGTCTCCCATGCCCCGTGTTTTAGGGGAACGATCAGGTTCCATGGAAGGAACCTTTTCCACAAGCCCACAGTCATCCAAGTGAAACAAAAGGTAGGGCGCTAGCTGAACCTGCAGGGATCTACCCGTCACACCTGGGGGGAAGGGCGGACTCTGGGAGACAAAGGACCTAAATTCTCTAATCCTATGGCCTCCACGACTACTTAACTCTCAATCAGGGGGAAAATAAAAGCGCTGATCAGGCGTCAGGTCGCAAGCCTTGCTGGGGGCGCTGGGAAAGGGCCCGAGTGGGGGTCCTTTGGGGAGAGAGGGGTTGCTGGCTACATTTGTTCTTGGGAAAAATCAGGAGGGGATTTAGGTAACATTCTGAGGAAGATAGCAGTGACTCCACTTAGGCCCCGGGGATGATGATGGCTCTCCCATTCTCAAAAAAGCCTCTGAATCTCATTTCTGCAAATTGTCCCATTTTGGGAAAATCAAGAATCATTTCACCCGCAGGTCCTACATCCATCTCACACACACACACACACACACACACACACACACACCTCTAAGCATTCTAGGAAAGCAGCCCTCCCCGGCCCCAAAAAACTCACCCTGCGGGGTCCGAGTATGGGGTGGGGGCGGGGCGGGGGCGGGGCGCAGCGAGGCTCCCGGCCCTGAAGGGTTAATTCCGGCGGCCGCCGAGCATGCCGGGAGTCGTAGTCCCCCGCGCGCCCGCGGGCTCACGGGATACGCCGCTCTCCAGCGCGTGCCGACGTGAGACGGAGACTTCCGGCCCGCGGCCAGGGACTTCCGGTCCTCAGCGGCGGTTTAGTGACTAAGTCCGCTTCCAGCGCGCTGTGTGTCCCGGAACTGAAATCAGACAGTGAGCGCTTTACGGTGCTCCCCAGCCCTGAAACCCCGCGGGTGCCTCAAGCTCTCGCTCTTACTTAGCCCTGGTGAGCTCCTCGTCTAGTGGGGGTGGGGATGTTTCCCTGGCTCTCCTGGTGCGAGAACTCGGAACCAGGGGAAAGGTTGAAGCTGCAGCAAGCCGGCAGCGCGGAGGTCAGGTCGCTGGAAGCACTTACTGCCCCGGCGACGGCGGCCGCGGTCTCTTTCGCTTCCTCTCGCGGTTTGGTAGAAAGAGAACACAGGCCGTCGAGTTGCTGTGTGGCTTGGAGCAGGGACTTCCAGAGTTTGTACTTTTCGAGGCGAGCTGGTCTCCGGGTTGAGGCCTCTCCGTCCTGCGGCCGCCCGTGCTCCCTCTTCCCGGGCTTCATGGGTCTCCTTGGAGCGGAGGCCTGGACCCTCCAGCCCTGCCTCCTGAGAGCCCTGTGCCCAGCCTTGGCGTTCACTCACCCCCCCCCCCCCCCCG